CAAAGCACATTCAAGGAGAAAAAATGCGGATGATTCATCAATTTCCAGAAAAAACACTTACAAACTGTTGAAAATCATGTCCAAATCACAATTTAGAGATTTTATTACAGTTTGTAAATGTTTTCTGGCCTGATTCTATCGACCATCCGCATTTTTTCTGCTTGAATGTGCTTTATTTACGTGTACTTTAAGGGAAAATTAAAAAGAATGCCGAAATCAGCCAAATGTTAATTAGGCAGATTACCTTGAAAAACATTGCTGCCGTATTTCTGATATAGCTTTTTGCAAATTTCTCAGTTTTTAATAACAATTTTTTTTTTTTACTATTTTTGCACTCCTAGAACAGCGTCAAACAACACCTCAGAGGAATGACGCCAATTTTGAATCACCCTGTAGTGGTCACATAAATTGAAGCTCCCTCTGGAGTGGTCCAAAGGATAAAATGTTTGCTTATGTCTAAAAAAACACTTGGATGTTTCTTGAAACCTCTATAAACTCAATGTTTTTCAGGTCTGGAGCGTAGGTAAAAATATGAGTGTACCCTTGAAACTAAATTCGTCATTATCAAGACCAATACAGAAAGTAGGAACAGTCCGGTTACTTCAATAATTCATAGTATTTTTCTCAATTTGGAAGAAAAATCCAAGTCCTATACTTAACGGGGAATGAAACTTTAATGCCGCGTCATGTTTCATAAATGATGGCCTTACAACCAATATATCGATCGAATAATGTATCTAACTTGAATACGTTTGTAGTAAAAAATTTCACTTATTTCTAGTTGCCCCATTCATCATGCGCCGATAAGTAACCAGCATGCCTTACTTCAACTAATTGCTAATTATACACCCCCATTTGTAATCTTAATTGCTCTAACTGCACGAACAATCTGATTATGCACCTGGTAGAGGTAACTTCGGGAATGTTACATTTTTTATCTCTAAAACGTTTAATCGGATGTTATTAATTACACTAATAAGTGCAAGTGGTAATTATGCAGTTAGTCTTGTTAGCGACACAAATGATAGAACATAAGGAAATTGCTGATTTGTAATGTTGAAGCGAAACTTACTCTCTTTCGTAGCGGTGCTTTTTCGGGAATTTCCAACGGACTTTAGACCATTGGGCAGTTCAAGTTCCTGCAGATGACACCCGTAATACTTCACCGAGTGTCCTTTGCAATCTTGAACGTGCGGATCCGCACCAGCCAAAGTCAAAAGTTTCTGGACTGTCGCTGGATCCTTGCACATCAATGTGTAAAAGTATGGCGTTCTTCCTTCCTTAATTGCAAAGATATAGACTTTTATTGGAAGTATATTATATATTTTTTAATTTTTTTCATTTTGGAATGTACAACAGTTTAGAATCTGTCAAAATGCGTTTCAACTGTACCCATAGAATAACCGAATGTAAATGAAATTCATGAAAATCACTAAATGCGACCTTTCCCTTTGGTTTGCCGGAAAAAACCATTATTTTCCACAAATCCTGCCTATTATTTGCACACATAAGAGCCAAGACATAAAGGTTAGACGCTTATTGTGTTTCTCTAATTGTAAGCTGAGCGCGTCAAGGTAGGAAAATTATAGTTACTGCGGAAACTAGCAGTTTTTCTTTATACAAATTTCTCTTTTACGTGACCATGTTGTGAATATATTTTTTTCTATTTTTGTCATGAGCTGTGAACTATGTGTACATTGTCTGGAGCGGTGGATAGTGATTGATTTTATGAGCTCTATTTGTGAACATTCTTTCACTGCAATCGATGAAAACATCGCTTACCGAGTCCCTTGAATTCACAGAATGGGGAAATTTATCGATAAGCCATCGGTATATAGACTTCAGGTCGTAATACACCGCTTTGTGCAAAAGACCGACTCCGCTGTCATCTTTGGCCAGAATTAGTTTCTTCTTCCGCTCTGGTTCCTCATCCAGGATCGATTGTAGTTCAGCCAGTCTGTCGCTGTTGAGGGAGTCGTGAAGAAGGGCAATCTTTGACTAAAAACAGTTTTTCTTTTTCTGTGGTCCGATTTATTTCATTTGAGTTGTCTACCATTAAGGCTGGAACTGATTTCAAGAAGGTGCGGGTTCTGTAGTCGGCTGAATACTCGCCGACCATTTTTTTTCCTTGGCCTTCCAGTACCAATTGCTCTAGCCTGTCAATGTCCCCATTCCTTATCAAATGTTTAATATGAGCTGCACTTACTGATAATACTAAAAAAATTAATTGTATTATCTTTCGGCTGGTTTTTGTTGCAGCAAAAAGCGGTTTATGCAGTTTATTAAATGAAAATGTTAATGTAACTCGTAACTCATATAGGCGTCTTAAACCATTTTTGTTATTTAAGTCGCATCTTGATAAAGGTCGTTGAAACATTTGCATGCTACAAGCTAGCCAAACTTCTATTCTTTTTACAATCCGTTAATGTTTTTGCGCCCTATTATGAACGATGAAAATTAGTGCAGGCTAATCACCTTAATTCTATTGATATATGTATATTTATGGCACTCCCCCAGTCCAACTGATATGTTGGCCGCTCCTTCTAGCTATTTAACTAAGTTCTGGACAGCTTTGATATGTAAAAGGACCTTGGTAAAAGGAATGCATTGAGGTTTTTTTTGTAATGGGATCAGGCTATATGGTATAACCGCACCCTTTAGAGCCTCTATTGCAAAGCAAAGTTTTTCTTAATGATTTCTAGATAATCTACATTCTGTTTCAGGGTAGGTAAAAATACATTATCACCCATCCCTTTCACTGATAAGAAAATTGCCAACAGCGCGGGCTTAATCCAAAGATATTAGTTGATTTTATCATTAAAAACTTACTTCTTGGTGGATTGCTGTGAACGTATAGGCCGTTAACCGCCTTGCCATCCACAGGGGGTCTTTTCCGTAAAATGGTCATATTTGCTCGATCATGATACTATGCAGGAAGGGTGACCATTACATTCCCATTAGTCATTGCGCGGATAACATCTCAGTTCATTTACATATTGAACATGTCTATTAGTTGGCCCTAAAATTGCACACTAGCATTTCTTGGTAATTTTTATGAATTCTCGGCTTCAAACAGGCCCGCTGTATTTATCATTCTTCGTATCGGTCAGAATATAATCTTTTAAGAAAAAAAAATTTTTCATTTTTTCAAAAAATCGACCCCCACCCTTGGAAAAATTTTGGCCAAAAATCAAAATTTTACATGTGTGTTTTTTGAGCTCAAACGGTTCCTTTTGACTTAAGAAGTTCAGAAATATGCATTTATAAAATTTATGGGCTGAGTTTCTTCTATGCTCCAATGCACAAAACTTGTTACTAGAATGCCATTAAAAGTGATTTGTATTATTAGGGAAATTTAGGAACTATACTGTTTAAATCGGCCCCAACAAACCTTAAATTAGCTCCTTCTTGGCATAAACTACGTGGCTCACTTAATGATGCAATAAATGTAAATAGCAGCTCTAAAACCTATACCTAATAGCTAACGACTGAATACCAAACTGGTAAATTAAATCCATCGAACTGAACGGACCCCCATAACAAATGATTTACTAGAGCAATAAAATCGCTTATTCCTAATAAACAAAAACTTATTTTAGGTTTAACCTAATTACATTTTCATTGATCTTCAGAGAATTAGGTCTTCCAGTTGGACCGCGCAAAAGTATTAGTAAAATAATTCGGAATAAGCGGAGAACCAAAGGAAGTGGTTCATCTGATTTTTCGGTTCAAGTTCAAATTGTTCTAACTTTTCTACTAATCAATCGACTTTAAAATATTCGAAATATTTCCAACAGTTGCTGAGTTAAGGGCAAATAAGTGTGCGAACGATGTGGATGGCAGTTTAAGACTCTCTAACTCCATTTTCTCCGAAACTATATACGAAAACGATTTTGTTGAAAAGTGGCACATTGGTCTAAATTCTACTCTTAAGTGAAAAATTTGAACATTTGCGATTTTGAAAAAATTCGAAATTTTTCAAAATAAAAAAAAATTATTACAAAATTTTTTTTGAACCATTGAGTTGCTCCTAATAGTACTTTTCGATACAAGAGCTCGAAAAACGGATTTTCGCCCGCGTATCGAACAATATTTTTTATTCGAATAAGGGACATAACACGAATCATCAGTTACCGGAGTAAGAATTCAAAGTATTTTGTTCGGGAAATCGTCTTTTCGACCTTAAAAACATCATAACTTCCAAGTTTTCCCGATTTATTTTTTCCGAGGTGCAGTGCGTTTTCAGATATGCCCGATATTAACAGTTGTGCAGAAAATGTGTACATACAATAAGCTGTTTTCCCCAAAAAATGCGACCTTAAATCCACAAAGAAAACATTGATAACATTTGTCTTGAAAAATCGGCTTTTCGACCCTCAGACTCGTATAACTTTCGAGCTGGTACGCAAAAAAATGCTGACTTCTACTGCATGTTAATGTGCGAAACGTTGCCAGTCTGCTTTTTAAACATCTTCCGGGATTTGAGCGCTGGTCAAATGTTTCATATCATTTAATTTTCATTGCGTTTTCCCTTTTCCGTCTATAATCAGATGTTTTCATCAAACAAATCGGTAGCGAAGAGTATATCAAGAAACAGACAGTATCGTTAGGCTTTCGACAAGAATTAAAAGAAACTTTAGGAATAAAAAGCACTCACCCGAACATAAGAACACTTGGGAAAACCGTAGAGCGTTGATCGACTCTGACCACTCGTGGAACAGTAAACAACATTATCGGTTAATATTTGAACCAACGAGACCAAGCAGGCTTGGCCATCCAGATAGTCCAGCAATGTGCAGGCGCGCCGCTAACTATGGATGTCCATTGAGCAGGACAACCAAGCCCATAAGCATAATATGCTTAGCTTTACATGCTGTTCGATTGCCTGCCATTTTCAAATGCTAATTTATTTATAAGATTTGAAATTCGAGTTTTAGGCACGCTACGAGAGACTTGGAATGTATTGGAAATCATTGCCTGGATTATCTAAAAACACATACATGTTTATTTTTATTATTACATTAAACTAAATGTAGGTTTATTAAAAAATTATGCATGTGCGATTGTGGCAATTAGGCACCAGGTTGTGAGTGGGGGACGTTCAAACATGAGGCCACAAAAACAATATTTAAGTAATATCGATTGGGCATGTCAAGCCCGTTCGTTCCTTTTTCTGTGCAAACAAAAACTTTATCCACTAACAATGGAGGTTTGAGGTGCTAATACCCGTTTCAATAAAGGGCTTAAGTAGAAAATCCTTCGCTCAGGGTATACAGGATGGGACTCGAGCCGGTTTGCTTTGACCGATGTAGGAAATTTCAAATCAAATAGTTAAATTAAGTCTAATATCGTGCAATAAATTGGATTATTCCACAAACGCTTCCAAACGAAGATTTGGTAATACATGTTTGATGGCTTCTACAGTTACGCTCTATTATTACACATATTATGAATGCTACAAGACTTTGCCAAGAGCACAAAAATATCTGGAAACGGTTAATATTTAACGGAAAAATTTATTGACTCCTCCTATCAAGGAAAACCTCCTGCTGGTTTTTGTACCAAGACACTCTATGGGTAACCATTTGTGCAAAATATTGAAACATGTCCAGAGTAGGTAAATAGCGCCTAT